ACTATTTGAGTCTTGCTTTTAACAAGTGGGACCTGAGTAGGGCTCTGTCTAGAGCTCATTCTTCCCCACTAGGAAGCAAGAGCCTTCTGAGCACTCTCAATGCCCTGTGAATTTCCCAAGCCCTGTGCGACAGCTGAGCTCTGTTCCCTCTAATCCTCTCAGGCTGTTCTTTCCCAGGCCTCAGTAGTTTCCTCATAGGCATGAGCTGGTCAGTACTCAGCTGAACACTTGAGGGGTCCCTGTGCAGAGCTCAGGAGTTCTCTGTCTGCAGCTCACTCTTCCCTGGCACCCCGCCCTGTGCAGGCTAGCTGCCTTGCTCTCCCCAGCCTCTCAGCTGCTTCTCAATGCAGGGAGCCTGCTGGGCTCTGCTTCATCCCCTCTCTCTGCCTCAGGACCTGGAACTTCTCTAAAGGCAGCAAGCTGGGGAAATCACAGGGCTCACTCCGTTCGTTTCCCCTCTTTCAGGTAGTACTGTCCTTCATTATCTGAAGTCTGGTGTCTTGAAAACTGTTGTTACATATATTTTGTTTATTTTTTGTTGTTGGTTCAAGTGGGAGAGTAAATCTGATCCTTGTTACTCCATCTTGACAAGAAGTGGAAATCTTGCCCTTCCAGATAATCTGCATAGTAGATGTGGGAATTTTGAGAAACAGAACAAGTCTCTTGTACTATTTCTCTCTCTTTCCAGACTTCTTTATTTCTCTTTATATGTGACTTCTTTTATTTCTCTTTCATGTATTCATTTAATATCAACTGAACATCTACTATGTGTATACACTGTGATCAGTCCAGGTGTACAGTAGTGAACGTGATCGGTCCAGGTGTACAGTAGTGAAAAAATAACCTTCATAATCTACAATCTCTCATGAGTTTGGTTAGCAGAAGGCAGACCGTGAGAATCTGAATGTGGAAAGATGGTATTTCTGGACCTGTGAAGCTAAAGACTAGACCCTGGAACCTGCAACCAGTTGCCTCCCATCTCTGAGGGACCAGTTGGTCTCCTTCTGAGTTCTTCATTTTCTTTTGCTAACCGCAATACTAATTCTGCCTTAATTGGTGAAAGGGGGAGTTTCATTTATTTAGCATCAGTGAGTCTTACTATTTTAATGATGAATCTCATCTCAAAGAATATAGAAAAACTTAAAGTTGTCCATTTCTGATTATGGTAACGATTGTAACTGAAGTGTCAGTACCAAGAAACACACACACACACAGATAGTCTGAATATATTTTTCTGAAGTAAACTTTGATGACACACAGTGAAGCGATTTATGATGTATAATATCGTTATAATCAGGTGATTGCTTTCCTCGCAAATCCTAAGATAAAACTCTATAAAATGAATGTTTTCATAAATTGTGTTGAGCTATCCATCTGGCAAAGATACACTTAACTCCAACTTATACTTAAAAAACCAACATACTTACCATATGTCTCAATAATTTTAAGGTAAAATCTACTTGAAACAAGATGTCTGGGACACATACACCATATCCAGTTGCCCAAAAGCTCATCTGTTAACCATTGTTTTGGCAGGGAGCATTGCTTTCTTTAAATTGAGACTAACTCAGTTTTGTAAAGCTCAACTATTTTTTTTCTGTAAAAGATTGTTCAACGTT